TCGCTAGAGGGGTCTGAAAACTCGCTAAATATAGCGACAAAGTCGCTAAATTGGCAACACTGTCTCCAAGTTTAGCTGGATTTGAGAAGTGTGATTGGTTGATGATAGGCCTATGACATTGGCCTACGTCTCGTCTTGCGCTGCGCAGAATATCAGATCTCTATATAACGATTAAAGAAGTGTTTAACCCAGTACCACATTCTTATGATATACATTTTTTAATAAACGCAACAGACAGGTTGGAATGTCTCACTGAAATACGGGACAAATCAACCTTTTTTTCTACGTTTGTGGTGTTTGAATTTGTTGATAAAATGCAGGACATGATTGTTTGGTTTTGGGATGTGGGTCAATGGGCCAAAATGCGGGACTGTCCCGCCCAATCTGGGACATGTACACTATATATACAAAAGTATGTGGACACCCCTTCAAATTAGTGGATTTGGCTATTTCAGCCACACCCATTGCTGACATTTGTATGAAATCGAGCACACAGCCATGCAATATCCATAGACAAACATTGGCAGTAGAATGGCCTTACTGAAAAGCTCAGTGACTTTCAACGTGACACTGTCATAGGATGCCACCTTTCCAACAAGTCAGTTCAGTCAAATGTCTGCCCTGCTAGAGCTGCCCTGGACAACTGTAAGTGCTGTTATTGTGAAGTGGAAATGAACGCAAAGTGGTAGGCCACACAAGCTCACAGAATGGGACCGCCGAGTGCTGAAGCACGTAGCGGGTAAAAATTGTCTGTCCTCAGTGGCAACACTCACTACCTAGTTCCAAACTGCCTCTGGAAGCAATAACTGTTTGTCGGGAGCTTCATGAAATGGGTTTCCATGGACGAGCAGCCGCACACAAGCCTAAGCCCACCATGTGCAATGCCAATAGTCGGCTGGAGTGGTGTAAAGCTTGCCGCCATTGGACTCTGGAGCAGTGGAAACGAGATCTCTGGAGTGATGAATCACGCTTCAACATCTGGCAGTACGACGGACGAATCTGGGTTTGGCAGATGCCAGGAGAACGCTACATGCCCCAATGCATAGTGCTAACTGTAAAGTTTAGTGAAGGAGGAATAATTGTCTGGGGCTGTTTTTCATGGTTCGGCCTTGGCCCCTTAGTTCCAGTGAAGGGAAATCTTAACGCTACAGCATACAATGACATTCTAGACGATTCTGTGCTTCCAACTTTGTGGCAATAGTTTGGGGAAGGTCCCTTTTCTGTTTCAGCATGACAATGCCCCCGTGCACAAAGCAAGGTCCATACAGAAATGGTTTGTTGAGATCAGTGTGGAAGAACTTGACTGGCCTGCACAGAGCCCTGACCTCAACCCCATCTAACACCTTTGGGATGAATTGGAACGCTGACTGCAAACCAGGCCGAACAACAGTGTCCCGACCTCTCTAATGCTCTTGTCGCTGAATGGAAGCAAGTCCCTGCAGCAATGTTCCAACATCTAGTGAAAGCCTTCCCAGAAGAGCTGAGGCTGTTATAGCAGCAAAGGGGGGACCACCTCCATATTAATGCCTATAATTTTGGAATTAGATATTCGACGAGCAGGTGTCCACATACTTTTGGTCATGTAGTGTATACGGCATCATAGTTCAAGTCCACTGTTATTTTCTTGACAAGTTCTCATACATTTGGCAGGGGAAACTGACTGTCCTTTTGGCTGACGTTGCGTTTGGCCGGAGCAAGGCGTTTGGGTAGCAGGCAAACTGTACTAATCTTCGTAGCAGGCAAACTGTACAGTCGTGGTCAAAAGTTTTGAGAATGACACAAATACTAATTTTCACAAAGTCTGCTGCCTCAGTTTTGATGATGGCAATTTGCATATACTCCAGAATGTCATGAAGAGTGATCAGATGAATTGCAATTAATTGCAAAGTCCCTCTTTGCCATGAAAATGAACTTAATCCCCCAAAAATATTTCCACTGCATTTCAGCCCTGCCACAAAAGGACCAGCTGCCATCATGTCAGTGATTCTCTCGTTAACACAGGTGAGAGTGTTGACGAGGACAAGGCTGGAGATCACTCTGTCATGCTGGTTGAGTTAGAATAACAGACTGGGAAGCTTTAAAATGAGGGTGGTGCTTGAAATCATTGTTCTTCCTCTGTTAATCATGGTTACCTGCAAGGAAACATGTGCCGTCATCATTGCTTTGCACAAAAAGTGCTTCACAGGCAAGGATATTGCTGCTAGTAAGATTGCACCTAAATCAACCATTTATTGGATCATCAAGAACTTCAAGGAGAGAGGTTCAATTGTTGTGAAGAAGGCGTCAGGACGCCCAAGAAAGTCCAGCAAGCGCCAGGACCGTCTCCTAAAGTTGATTCAGCTGCGGGATCGGGGCACCACCAGTGCAGAGCTTGCTCAGGAATGGCAGCAGGCAGGTGTGAGTGCATCTGCACGCACAGTGAGGCAAAGACTTTTGGAGGATAGCCTGGTGTTAAGAAGGGCAGCAAAGAAGCCACTTCTCTCCAGGAAATTCTGCAAAATGTACAGGGATTGGACTGCTGAGGACTGGGGTAAAGTCATTTTCTCTGATGAATCCCCTGTCCGATTGTTTGGGGCATCCGGAAAACACCTTGTCCGGAGAAGACAAGGTGATCGCTACCATCAGTCCTGTGTCATGCCAACAGTAAAGCATCCTGAGACCATTCATGTGTGGGGTTGCTTCTCAGCCAAGGGAGTGGGCTCACTCACAATTTTGCCTAAGAACACAGCCATGAATAAAGAATGGTACTAACACATCCTCCGAGAACAACTTCTCCCAACAATCCAAGTTTGGTGACGACCAATGCCTTTTCCAGCATGATGGCGCACCTTGCCATAAGGCAAAAGTGATAACTATGTGGCTCGGGGAACAAAATATCGACATTTTGCGTCCATGGCCAGGAAACTCCCCAGACCTTAATCCCATTGAGAATTTGTGGTCAATCCACAAGAGGCGGTTGGACCAAAAAACCCCACAAATTCTGACAAACTCCAAGCATTGATTATGCAAGAATGGGCTGCCATCAGTCAGGATGTGGCCCAGAAGTTAATTGACAGCATGCCAGGGCAGATTGCAGAGGTCTTGAAAAAGAAGGGTCAACACTGCAAATATTGACTCTTTGCATAAACTTAATGTAATTGTCAATAAAAGCCTTTGACACTCATGGAATGCTTGTAATTATACTTCAGTATACCATAGTAACATCTGAGAAAAATATATCATAACACTGAAGCAGCGAACTTTGTGAAGACCAATACTTGTCATTGTCAACTTTTGACCACGACTGTACTACTCTTCTTGCCGTGTATAAACCATGGTCAGAGGAGAATAAATGGAGCAAGCGTGACCCCTGCTGTTCAAATACAGTTATACTTGTTTCTGAAGAGATACCACGAGCTGCTGGTTATGTGGTGTGGATTATAATTTGCTGACTGTCTTGTCTGAGTACATATTGCTACCGTTATTTCGATATTGAAACGAAACGACGAAGTGTTCAAACATTTGTGTGTAGTCTGTATAAACATTTGCTTATTTTAGAATACTGGTGGTTTTGGGGGCGTTTCCCACTGTCTGTCAGCAGTTTTCATAGGTTCATTTCGCATTCTGTAGTGTAGCCATTGGCTCTGGCTACTAATCTTTCCTTGACATGGAAGCCAACAACAGGGCACATAGCTAGCTAGGGCAAAGGACCACTGAAACTGAAAGTATGGATTCCACTCCGGTAAGTTGTAACTAGCCAACTGATTTAATACTTTCGATTCTAAAGAATAACAGTTATTACTTAGATAACAGTTGGACCAGTAGTAACTAATCAGTTAGCTAGCTACTGTCTGTACCTAGCACATCCTCCATTGTAAATTCCCGTAGCAGTAGTTCGCTTGCTAGCATGACAGTAAGCTAGCTACCGGTAGTTATCTGCGTTAAGATACAAAGGGCCCTGTTAAGGTTAGAGTGAGCTAAAAGAAAATACCCGGATTTTGATCATTTCCCTGAAGAAGGGGAGTTCAGAGTGATCATCATGACACGTCGAAGTTTCTAACCTAGAGTAGAGGTCCTAGACTATAGCAAATATTTGTATAACTAAACCAAGATAGACCACAGCTTGTCGTTTCCAATAGGAACAAATGAGTCTAAGTGGGCAGAGCGCAAGCACGAGCTACCTATATTCTATTGGCGCGATCTAGCAGCATCTGCATATTTCCGTTAGGGAAGGGCTCCTCTGTGAAGTGCGCGTGTGCAGTAACTCAATTCGCCTTTGCACTCCTTCTAAACAACGCGATTTAAAAAAAAACTTTTGCAAAGGGTAAAGTCTACAAAACTTAGTCCACTCTGTCCATAACAGATTGTAGTTTTAGAAACCGAAAACTGTATTGAGATCAAATGTTTCATCGATGAGAAAATGTGCAGAATGTCGGCCAAAATCCATCTCGTTCCATCTTCTTACTCTGTCGGCCAGTGTGCTTCCTCTCACTACCATAGTTGGTATTGAGTGGAAACGCCAAGCGGATGCTTCACATTTATACATCCGGTGAAATATCTGTCTCATTGTTCTATCTGTGACTATAGTTTATTCATTGGCACTGGAAGTACAATACAGCTAGCTAGATACCAACTAAGCTAGCCAGCTAGTTGAAAATACATATGAAATTGTTGAGCTTTATCAGACCTAGAAAACAAGCTTGTATGACAACACAGCATTTCCCTATAATGATTCATCTCTAGGCTAGCGAGCTTCAATCAGCTGCTGTCTTTGATCAAACTTGCACTTTGTCGTCAGAGCAAAACAATCACTCCATTCATCAGCCACACTTCACTTCATTCAGGCATTATTGACCTATTGATTGACTTTGTAGGGCATCTTCTGATTGATCTGCTCAAAGACACCATGGGCACCCTTTGCCCCGCCCCTTTTGTGTTAGGGCAAGAGTCGGTTTGTGTATAAGCTCGATGTTTCTTATGACTTTTCCTGTTTGTCTCACACCCCTATGGCCTTGTTGCAGACTATCGGAGAGTTGTTCCATACCCTTTGTGAGATGGGCTTCAGTGAGGAGCAGATCCAGTCTGCCGTGCAGGCAGGACACTTCTCTGTGCCTGATGCAGCTGAGTGGTGAGTCCTCCCAAACCATAACCCTTAAATGGACAGGCAAGGAACTATGTTTTCCGATGTCAAAACAGGATGGGTAACTGACAAGTGTTGTCAATAACTGAACATGTCAAATATTTCATGTTTTTTTCTATGTGTTTACGTCAGGCTTTTACAAGGTGAAAATCTGAGGCACAAGCTGGTCAAAACTCCATCCCTGCCAGTTTCAACGGCATTCGCTGCATTCAACCCTCCCAAAGATGCGGGAAGCTCTTGCCCCCCAAGCACATCACACTCACAGACATCGCCCAATGACAGTAGAGGTGTGACACACCATTATAATATTTCATCAAACATTTGTTTTCCATGGTTGATTGCATACTATAATGTAATGGTCCTATGTCTTATTGTGCACAAATGACCACTTGTGCTGTCTTTTGCCCCTTTTGTACAAATCAAATACCTGTCTTGTAAAACTTGGAGCAGCGAGTGGCTTTGCCTTGTTTCCAGCTGCAGATACAGAGGAACTGTGTGCAGGACAGGACATAAGGCATCATTTGCAGTAAATAATCCAAGCTTTTTGTTTCCAAGCTAATCTCCCTTCTCATAATCTTCCATTAATGCTTATTTGTTATAATATTGTGACGACATTGGTTACATTTCAGTATTTGAAGTCTTAGTGGCCATTTGACGTATTGCCATCTTGCCTCATGGAGGAGTTTTTGGAAACATCGCATTCGTAGTTTGAGCTACTCTAGGAAGTGACGTTTCAGGCTAACTCAGTGCTGCCCCCCTCTCATTTAGTATCTCAAGTTGAAGGCCGACCGGGGTACTGTAGGCTGGTGGTAGCAACTCAATTATCCTTAACCTCTGTGTGCGATAAAAAAATTATCGGTTCAAGGACATACATGTGGTGTGATAAAAGCAATTATTGGTACTATGATTGTGTAAAAGAATATATATATATATATATATATATATATATATACAGTACCAGTGAAAAGTTCGGACACACCTACTCATTCCAGGTTTTCTTATTTTACTATTTTCTACATTGTAGAATAATAATGAAGACATCAAAACTATGAAATAACACATATGGAATCATGTAGTAACCAAAAAACTGTTAAACAAATCCTTTGCCTTTGACAGCTTTGCACACTCTTGGCATTCTCTCAACCAGCTTCATGAGGTAGTCATCTGGAATGCATTTCAATTAACAGGTGTGCCTTGTTCAAATTAATTTGTGAAATGTCTTTCCTTAATGCGTTTGAGCCAGTCAGTTGTGTTGTGACAAGGTAGGGGTGGTATACAGAAGATAGCCCTATTTGGTAAAATACCAAGTCCATATTATGACAAGAACTGCTCAAATAAGCAAAGAGAAACGACAGTCCATCATTACTTTAAGACATGAAGGTCAGTTAATACTGAAAATTTCAAGAACTTTGAAAGTTTCTTCAAGTGCAGTCGCAAAAACCATCAAGTGCTATGATGAAACTGGCTCTCGTGAGGACCGCCACATAATTTTTTTTTTACCTCTGCTGCAGAGGATACGTTCATTAGCGTTACCAGCCTCAGAAATTGCAGCCCAAATAAATACTTCACAGAGTTCAAGTAACAGACACATCTCAACATCAACTGTTCAGAGGAGACTGCGTGAATCAGGCCTTCATGGTCGAATTGCTGCAAAGAAACCACTACTAAAGGACACCAATAAGAAGAGACTTGCTTGGGCCAAGAAACACAAGCAATGGACATTAGACCGGTGGAAATCTGTCCTTTGGTCTGATGAGTCGAAATGAGAGATTTATGGTTCCAACCACCGTGTCTTCGTGAGACGCAGAGTAGGTAAACGGATGTTCTCCGCATGTGTAGTTCCCACCGTGAAGCATGGAGGAGGTGTGTGGTGTGGGGGTGCTTTGCTGGTGACACTGTCTGCTATTTATTTAGAATTCAAGGCACACTTAACCAGCATGGCTACCACAGCATTCTGCAGCGATACGCCATCCCATCTGGTTTGGGCTTAGTGGAACTATCATTTGTTTTTCAACAGGACAATGACCCAACACACCTCCAGGCTGTGTAAGGGCTATTTTACCAAGAAGGAGAGTGATGGAGTGCTGCATCAGATGACCTGGCCTCCACAATCCCCTGACCTCAACCCAATTGAGATGGTTTGGGATGAGTTGGACCGCAGAGTGAAGGAAAAGCAGCCAACAAGTGCTCAGCATATGTGGGAACTGCTTTAAGACTGTTGGAAAAGCATTCCAGGTGAAGCTGGTTGAGAGAATGCCAAGCGTGTGCAAAGCTGTCATCAAGTCAAAGGGTAGCTACTTTTGAAGAATCAAAATATATTTGGATTTGTTTAACACTGTTTTGGTTACTACATGATTCCATATGTGTTATTTCAAAGTTTTTGTAAAAATAAAGAAAAACCCTTGAATGGGAAGGTGTGTCCAAACCTTTGACTGGTTGCCATTTTCCCATTCACCATAATGGGGGATCCTACTTTCTGGAAACAGCCTACAGTACTGCGTTCGGCCTTGAACTTTGTGGCTTCAATGAGAGGGGGCAGTGGCGGCAGATAGCCTAGCGGTTAGAGTGTTGGGACAGTAAGCGAAAGGTTGCTTGTTTGAATCCACAAGCCAGCAAGGCAAGGCAGTTAACCCCCACAACAACTGCTCCCCGGGCGCCAATGTTGATTAAGGCAGCCCCCTCACCTCTCTGATTCAGAGGTTTAAATGAGAAAGCCACATTTCGGTTGAATGCATTCAGTTGTGCAGCTGACTAGGTGCAGTGCCTTGCAAAAGTATTCATCCCCCTTGGCGTTTTTCCTATTTTGTTGCATTACAACCTGTATTTAAATGTGATTTTTATTTGGATTTCATGTAATGGACATACACAAAATAGTCCAAATTGGTGAAGTGAAATGGAAAAAACAACTTGTTTCAAAAAATTCTGAAAAATAAATAACGGAAAAGTGGTGCATGCATATGTATTCACCCCCTTTGCTATGAAGCCCTAAATAAGATCTGGTGCAACCAATTACCTTCAGAAGTCACATAATTAGTTAGATTGCACACAGTGTCACATGATCTGTCACATGATCTCAGTATATATACACCTGTTCTGAAAGGCCCCAGAATCTGCAACACCACTAAGCAAGGGGCACCATGAAGACCAAGGAGCTCTCCAAACAGGTCAGGGACAAAGTTGTGGAGAAGTACAGATCAGGGTTGGGTTATAAAAAAATATCTGAAACTTTGAACATCCCACGGAGCACCATTAAATCCATTATTAAAAAATTGAAAATATGGCACCACAACAAACCTGCCAAGAGAGGGCCTCCCACCAAAACTCACGGACCAGGCAAGGAGGGCATTAATCAGAGAGGCAACAAAGAGACCAAAGATAACCCTGAAGGAGCTGCAAAGCTCCACAGCGGAGATTGGAGTATCTGTCCATAGGACCACTTTAAGCCGTACACTCCACAGAGCTGGGCTTTACGGAAGAGTGGTCCAAAAAAAAGCCATTGCTTAAAGAAGAAAATAAGCAAACACGTTTGGTGTTCGCCAAAAGTACTCTGGTCAGATGAGACTAAAATTGAGCTTTTTGGCCATCAAGGAATACGCTATGTCTTGCGCAAACCCAACACCTCTCATCACCCCGAGAACACCATCCCCACAGTGAAGCATGGTGGTGGCAGCATCATGCTGTGGGGATGTTTTTCATCGGCAGGGACTGATAAATTGGTCAGAATTGAAGGAATGATGGATGGCGCTAAATACAGGGAAATTCTTGAGGGAAACCTGTTTCAGTCTTCCAGAGATTTGAGACTGGGACAGAGGTTCACCTTCCAGCAGGACAATGACCCTAAGCATACTGCTAAAGCAACTCTCGAGTGGTTTAAGGGGAAACATTTAAATGTCTTGGAATGGCCTAGTCAAAGCCCAGACCTCAATCCAATTGAGAATCTGTGGTATGACTTAAATATTGCTGTACACCAGCGGAACCCATCCAACTTGAAGGAGCTGGAGCAGTTTTGCCTTGAAGAATGGGCAAACATCCCAGTGGCTAGATGTGCCAAGCTTATAGAGACATACCCCAAGAGACTTTCAGCTGTAATTGCTGCAAAAGGTGGCTATACAAAGTATTAACTTAGTATTAATAGTTATGCACTCTCAAGTTTTCGTTTTTTTTGTCTTATTACTTGTTTGTTTCACAATTAGAAATATTTTGCATCTTCAAAGTGGTAGGCATGTTGTGTAAATCAAATGATATCCCCTTTTCCAGCTGTTCTCCCCTGCCTCAGACACATTCCTGGCTTGAAATTGTAGCCTTAAATATATATTACTTAACTCAAGTTTTGGGCTAAACACCAACCTACTCCGGACATAGCATAGTAGCTAGTTATTTGACTCTTTATTTCAGCACAGTGACTTTTTTGTTTCTAATGTTGTGTGTCTGAAGGCCCCTCTTTAGTTTTGGGACCCCCACAGCCATCAAGCCCATCCACAGACCCCCCACCGCTGGAGTCCCGTATCAGGCAGGACAAGAGTGACTTCCAGGAGCAGCAGAGGATGCGTGTGGCCAATGAGGCCAGGAACGAGAGGAGGCAGAAGAAACAGGTCAGCAACACCTGCCTGATGGATCAGCTGAAACACACTGAGCACACACACAGCATAGCCACAGGGTTTTCAACATGCTAGTCTAACATACTGCAGTGCAAACTGCCTAGTGACACAATTTACACTGAAGATTGGTTTATTCAAATGATTGAGATTATATATTCAGCCCTTTTGCTAAAAAGTCACGCTCAGACATGGCATCCCTGAGACGTATGTGTTGTTACCTCAGGAGCGTGAGCTGGTGCTGAAGCGTATTGCTGAGGACCGGAGGAGCTTACAGGAGAAGAAGATCCAGCCGAGCGCCCCCACTGAGACCACGTCCCCCCCTGGCAGCAGCCAAGGCCAGAGGCTGGGGGGTACGGTCCAGACTAGTGTAGACAACAACTGCATCCTCATGGTGAGACTGAACCCTCCTCTGGCAATGTTTACATACAGTGCCTTGAGAAAGTATTCAGACCCCTTTTTCCACATTTTGTTGTTACAGCCTGAATTTAAAATGGATGAAATTGAGATTTTTTTTGTCACTGGCCTACACACAATACCTCATAATGTCAAAGTGATTATTATTTATATTTTTTGAAATTTCTGCCAATTAATTAAAAATGAAAAGCTGAAATGTCTTGGAGTCAATAAGTGTTCAACCCCTTTGTTATGGCAAGCCTAAATAAGTTCAGGAGTAAACATGTGCTTAATAAGTTACATGGACTGCAATAATAGTGTTTAACATGATTTTTGAATGACTACCTCATCTCTGTACCCCACACATACAATTAGTCGAGCATTGAATTTCAAACACAGATTCCACCACAAAGACCAGGTAGGTTTTCCAATGCCTCGCAAAGAAGGGCACCTATTGGTAGATGGGTAATAAACAAAACAGACATTGAATATCCCTTTGAGCATGGTGAATCTTGGATGGTGTATCAATACACCCAGTCACTACAAAGATACAGGCGTCCTTCCTAACTCAGTTGCCGGAGAGGAAGGAAACCACTCAGGGATTTCACCATGAGGCCAATGGTGACTTTAAAACAGTTACAGAGTGTAATGGCTGTGATAGGAGAAAACTGAGGATGGATCAACAACATTGTAGTTACTCCACAACACTAACATAATTGACAGAATGAAAAGGAAGTCTGTACAGAGTAAAACATATTCCAAAACATGCATCCTGTTTGCAACAAGGCACTAAAGTAATACTGCAAAAAATGTAGCAAAGCAATTCACTTTTTGTCATGAATACAAAGTGTTATGTGTGGGGCAAATACAATACAAAACATTACTGAGTTGTAACACTCTCCATATTTTCAAACATAGTGGTGTTATGGGTATCCTTGTAATTGTTAAGGACTGGGGAGTGTTTCAGGATAAAAAAGAAATGGAATGGAGCTAAGCACAGGCAAAATCCTATAGGAAAACCTGGTTCAGTCTGCTTTCCACCAGACACTGGGAGATTAATTCACCTTTCAGCAGTACAATAACCTAAAAGACATGGCCAAATCTACACTGGAGTTACTTACCAAGAAGACAGTGAAAGTGGCCAAGTTAAAGTTTTGACTTATATCTATGGCAAGACCCGAAAAATGGTTGTCTAGCAATCATCAACAACCAATTTGACAAAGCTTGAATAATTTTGAAAAGAATATTGGGCAAATGTTGCACAATCCAGGTGTGGAAAGCTCGTAGAGACTTACCCAGAAAGGATCAGCTGTAATCGCTGCCATAGGTGCTTCTACAAAGTATTGACTCAGGGTTGTGAATACTTATGTAAATTTAGATATTTCTGTATTTCATTCTCAATACATTTTGAGAAAGAAAATAATCAAAAAACATGTTTTCACTTTGTCATTATGGGGTATTGTGTGTAGATGTTTTATTCAGGCTGTAATAACAAAATGTGGAATAAGTCAAGGGGTATGAATACTTTCTGAAGCCACTGTATGCCTAGCAGCATAGGCAGGGCTCTAAATATTTTGCTCTACGACCTAGAGCCCCAGTGCGCCTAGAAAATAAAAATAATCACCCATATAATAATTGTTGTGATGATTAGGCTTCGCTGTACCGTTGTTCCCGAGTGATTATCTTCATCATGATACGCATAGAAAATAATGGAAATCTATATTTTCAAAAGCATGCGAGTCTCGTGTTCATATTTCACAACCTCCGCAGGCTTTTGGAGTTGCCTAGATGTCAGAGTCAATAGCAAAATAATACACTTATTGATTTAAGCTTACATTATAGCATGCTCCACTTATTTTCCCAGCCAGAGGTCAATTAACCAAAAAGATGGGGATTTAGTTAAACAAAATCACATTGATTCATTACCAGACAAGTCACTAACGTTAGGCTACATAACATGCTAGCAACATTTCCTGATCAGTCCTGCTAATAGATGAGCAAACTAGAATAATGATCATAAGCACACACCTCAATGTAGCTAACATTTCCCAGCCTAGTTGTAACCAAATATCCAAACTGAGATTTTGTGAAAACAAAAATCTGACATTTGTATTATTATTTTTTGTATTTATTATGGATCCCCATTAACTGCTGGCAGGGCAGCAGCTACTCTTCCTGGGGTCCGTCAAAATTTAAGGCAGTTATACAATTTAAAAAAACATTACAATACATTCATTACAGAATTAACAACACACTAAGTGTGTGCCCTCAGGCCCATACTCCACTACCACATATCTACAACACAAAATCCATGTCTACATGTGTGTATAGTTTGTATGTTATCATGTGTTTGTATGCATGTGTCTGTGCCTATGTTTGTGTTGCTTCACAGTCCCTGCTGTTCCATAAGGTGTATTTTTTATCTGTTTTTTAAATCTGATTCTACTGCTTAGATCAGTTACCTGATGTGGAATAGTAATGGGTCTATGTAGTACTGTGCGCCTCCCATAGTCAGTTCTGGACTTGGGGACTGTGAAGAGACCTCTGGTGGCATGTCTTGTGGGGTATGCATGGGTGTCTGAGCTGTGTGCTAGTTGTTTAAACAGACAGCTCGGTGCTTTCAACATGTCAATACCTCTCACAAATACAAGTAGTGATGAAGTCAATCTCTTCTCTACTTTGAGCCAGGAGAGATTGACATGCATATGATTCATGTTTGCTCTCTGTGTACATCCAAGGGCCACCCGTGCTGCCCTGTTCTGAGCCAATTGCAATTTTCCTAAGTCCCTCTTTGTGGCACCTGACCACACGACTGAACAGTAGTCCAGGTGCGACAAAACTAGAGCCTGTAGGACCTGCCTTGTTGATAGTGCTGTTAAGAAGGTAGAGCAGCGCTTTATTATGGACAGACTTCTCCCCATCTTAGCTACTGTTGTATCGATATGTTTTGATCATGACAGTTTACAATCCAGGGTTACTCCAAGCAGTTTAGTCACCTCAACCTGCTAAATTTCCACATTATTTATTACAAGATTTAGTTGAGGTTTAGGGTTTAGTAAATGATTTGTCCCAAATACAATGCTTTTAGTTTTTGAAATATTTAGGACTAACATATTCCTTGCCACCCATTCTGAAACTAGCTGCAGCTCTTTGTGAAGTGTTGCAGTCATTTCAGTCGCTGTAGTAGCTGACGTGTATAGTGTTGAGTCATCCGCATACATAGACACACTGGCTTTAATCAAAGCCAGTGGCATGTCGTTAGTAAAAAAGTAAGGGGCCTAGACAGCTGCCCTGGGGAATTCCTGATTTTACCTGGATTTTGTTGGAGAGGCTTCCATTAAAGAACACCGTCTGTGTTCTGTTAGACAGGTAACTCTTTATCTACAATATAGCAGGGGGTGTAAAGCCATAACACGCACATTTTTCCAGCAGCAGACTATGATCGATAATTATCAAAAGCCAGACTGAAGTCTAACAAAACAGCCCCCACAATCTTTTTATCATCAATTTCTCTCAGCCAATCATCAGACATTTGTGTAAGTGCTGTGCTTGTTGAATGTCCTTCCCTATAAGCGTGCTGAAAGTCTGTTGTCAATTTGTTTACTGTAAAACTTTACTAAGGGTTGGTAACAGACTGATTGTTTGGCTATTTGAGCTAGTAAAGGGGGCTTTACTATTCTTAGGTAGCGGAATGACTTTTACTTCCCTCCAGGCCTGAGGGCACACACTTTCTAGTAGGCTTAAATTGAAGGTATGGCAAATAGGAGTGGCAATGTCGTCCGCTATTATCCTCAGTAATTTTCCATCCAAGTTGTCGGACCCCGGTGGCTTGTCATTGTTGATAGACAACAGTAATTTTTCACCTCTTCCACACTCACTTTACAGAATTCAAAATTTCAATTCTTGTCTTTCATAATTTGGTCAGATATACTTGGATGTGTAGTGTCAGCGTTTGTTGTTGGCATGTCATGGCTAAGTTTGCTAATCATGCTAATGAAAAAATCATTAAAGAAGTTGGCAATATCAGTCGGTTTTGTAATGAATGAGCCATCTGATTCAATTAATTATGGAGCTGAGTTTGCCTTTTTTCCCAAAATGTCATTGAAGGTGCTCCAAAGCTTTTTACTATCATTCTTTATGTCATTTATCTTTGTTTCATAGTGTAGTTTCTTCTTCTTTTTATTCAGTTTAGTCACATGATTTCTCAATTTGCAGTACGTTTGCCAATCGGTTGTGCAGCCAGACTTATATGCCATTCCTTTTGCCTCATCCCTCTCAACCATACCATTTTTCAATTCCTCATCAATCCACGGTGATTTAACAGTTTTTACAGTCATTTTCTTAATGGGTGCTTGCTTATTAGTAACTGGGATAAGCAATCTCATAAATGTGTCAAGTGCAACGTCTGTTCGCTCCTCATTACAACACCACGGACCAACAAATATTCTTTACATCAACAACATAGGAATCACTACATTGATTGATTTAATTTATTAAGATGAGTCCCCATGCTAGTATCAAAGCAGGCTGTCCCAAATTAAATTATCATCCAGTTGACCACACCGATATTGCTTTAGATTTATTATAACGGTTGGAAGACTTTGGAAGTTTCAATAAGCAACAATTTGATACATGCCTTAAAGTTCATTAGCAATATATTCGTCATTCAGTGATTTTTATTCCCACAGTAATTCTTTATGGATCCATCCAGTTGTGGTTAACAAAACGTGCATGCATAGTGGTGGGCTATGCGAAGTGATGGGCAAAGTGACCTGCCTCGCAAAGTTTAGAACTGCTATGAGGATGTTAACAGCTTAGTAATGGGCGCTGCCTAGCAACCATTATGAAGCATAAAATGTAGCTACAACTAGTCTATATATGTTTTTTTAATGTTTGGTGCAACAGGTGTAAATTCTAATCACAACGTCGGACGTAGCTACGACCAACCTACCATTTAATACCAACTTATGTTTT